CACACACACACACACACACACACACACACACACACACACACACACATACACACACGCACACACACACAAACAGGCAAACACACACTTATTGCAATGATCTTGGCAACAAAGATTGCGGACGGAGAAAGGTAATGAAACATGTGTCAATCAAAAGTAACAAGCATGTGAGAGAGGAAGAAAAAAGGAAAGACGAGAGAGTAACCATCATTCTCTTCCACATCTCATTTTGACTTCACACCCTATCACTTTAAGCAAATTAACAGATTACGTGGTAGCATGTAGAGATACCAACCAAAGTTATTAAAGAAAGAGAGCTATGGCCACAACTTCGTAGTTAGGGATGGTGACAACAATTTTTTATGTTTGTGAGGTGTTGTATTTGTTACAACGAGAAAAACCTGCCAGACACACTCTAACAAATTCATGGATCACCATGTGCCCTATCATAATTGTCTTCCAACACCATTAAAAAAAAAAAAAAAAAAAACTTATCGACCATTAATGTTAGAGTAAGGACCACAACAACAATGAATGGTGCAAGAGGGACTACAAGAGCATGTACTCCTTGCCAACATGTACATAGTGTTAAGTGGCAAACTTCCGGCATAAGTTCTTACAGTTAACGAGTTTATTATGATACGGCTTCTTGAAGGTGATCAAACCGCTCCGCAGTTATCATTCGTCGGTCGAATGGATCCTGGCAGATTGTCTATCAGGGGTCAACCTTTTGAAAACTTTATGAAAGCCTAGTGAAACATTACACGATTATGCTTTTTGCAGAGTTGTTTATACCCAACGTCACAACATATACACATGCATACACAATCATTTTTAGATCACGTCACAGATTTGTATGAATTTTCGTTGCCCAGCTGCAGTTCTCCTTAATTCCTAGTAGTACCTTTCCCTGGGTCTATCCCTGCTTCAACTCTTGTTGCTTCCAATGTAGATTTATCTCTGGAGTCTCTTTGCGTGTTAAATGTCGCTCTACTACCATCTCCAGGTCCGACGGACCTTCTCCCGTAACAAAATTATCTCATTACCTTTGATTAAGGTTTTTGATTCAAGGATTCTTCGCAGTTCTGATCTTGTTCATTGAGAGGCATGCATTGTCTTGCTCTTTAGTCATTATTAACAATGAGGGTTCGCTGGGCTACATACCGATGTTGATCGATCCTGCTTGAGCATGTAGGTTTTGATCTTGATGAAAAAATTGAAAGCCTTGTCTTCCATCTAAATTGTATCCGGGTTGGTGTCTTGGTAGAGGTGAAAACATTGCATTGTAAAGCAGATCACCTTCCGATAGCTGGTTGGCCATCGGAATTGTATTATGGTTAGTACTTTGGTAGAGACGAAAATAGTGTATTGTGAGGTGCGTCAGCTTCCGATAGCTAGTTGGTAGAGTATTATCTAATGGGTCCTTGGATTTGAGTTCTTGTACCCAATAATCGACAACCAGTCAAATTTGAAGGTGAGCACCGGTCTTATTGTTTTATTGAGAAATATTGTCTGTCATTTTATTATGATGATTTTCGTCTTGTTACAATCCTTTTTCGTTTCTAAAAGTTTGTCCCACCTATATTGATGAATGATATGCCTTCCACCTTAATCCTTTGAAAACTTGTGAATCTCTCTGATACACTCCTCCTCTGAATGAAAATAGTCTCTACAGCGTCAGCAGCATGGTGTCGACGAGCACATCATCTTCAGTTTTCGTATATCTCTATTATCAGTGCGAACCTATATTTTGTCTACCATTTTTCTTATATATTGTGCGTCCACATCATATTTAAGATTGGGGAATTATGGTTTGGTTTTATCCCTGGTAGGGGGATAATCCTTGTTTATAACCCCAATCACTCTCTTCGATGCAACTTTTGTGTACATTGTCAAATCTAGTATCACTTGCAAAGCCATGATAAAAAAAAAACATTGTCCATCTCGTCTTTTCCAAACTCTCTTCATTCTACTTTCATCCAAAGTCTTGAATTGGAGAGTAGGAGTTGTCATAAATAGTGATACCATCATCTCTTTGTTCAATAAGTCGGGTGGAGACTATCACGTCTCTTGGGGCATATGCCACTACATTCGGACCCTCAAATCTAATGGTACCTCGCTGCAGTAATAGGTCGAATACTCCATCACGAGTCAAAACATTCTTACAAACTTTGATCATATCGACTTTAACCTTCCTTAAAACA